GGGGGGGGCTGCCCCTCCCGCCTGCCCCGGCGGGGGGGGGGGGCACAGATAAGCCCCCAGTGCTGCTTTGTAAGGCTCTGATATGGTCATAGGGCTCCAACAGGTCTCCTGCCAGACATGGGGGGAGGGCGAGTACCACTTGCATTCTGCCCCTCTATAACACAGGGCGTTGGGGGGGAGGAGGGGGAGAGACAGGGCTGCAGGAGCTCCCCAGCCCCCACCTTCCAGGAAGCTTCTGGGTTGGTTCACTCTCCCCTTCAGTGACCGGTTTCCTGCAGTGATATGGTCATAGGGCTCCAACAGGTCTCCTGCCAGACATGGGGGGAGGGCGAGTACCACTTGCATTCTGCCCCTCTATAACACAGGGCGTTGGGGGGGAGGAGGGGGAGAGACAGGGCTGCAGGAGCTCCCCAGCCCCCACCTTCCAGGAAGCTTCTGGGTTGGTTCACTCTCCCCTTCAGTGACCGGTTTCCTGCAGGCATTCCAAAAAGCCAAGCTGCCAGTTTCCTAAACCTAGGTCCTGCTGCCCCTCCTCCACAGACCTGCCCATCCCCCTCTCCCCAGGCCCAGGTGTTCACCCACAGCCAACCTCTATCACTTCCGCTCCTTGCTTCACCATCTGGAGAGTCCCACACGTGGCTCACCCCACCCCCAAGAGTCTCACAGGCCCCAAGGTGTGGGGGAAACTAGCAGACCTTCCGCCTGAGTGCCAGGAAATGGGAGGGGCTCCGGGCCTGTGAGCCCTGAGATTCACACACCCTGCCTGGAGCCACAAGGTTCATATGCTGCATTTGCTTCCCTCCAGGCCAGGGATCGCAAAGTCGTTGGTGATGTCAGTGGCGCGAGCAGCTATGGCTCCACTGCCAAGTGCCTGAACATCCTGGCCCTGGTCCTGACCCTTCTCACAGTCATCCTCATCATCATCCTCCTGGCAGCAGGGGTCATCGCGGTCTCTCATGGAATTCACGGAGTCTAGCACCACGGCAGCTGGCCACAAAGGGGATGTCCTGGCTATTATGCCTCTCTCTGGGCAGGGTTCCCCTTGCCACACTTCTGACGTCCATCTCCAGCTCTGTTTGCTCCCTTACGACTGGTGCCTGGCCATCTACTGCTGTTTCCAGAGCTGGGGAAGGCAGGGCTCTCCTCCTGGCCTCAGAGTGGCACGCTAGCTGTGATCCTACATCACATGCATCCTAGAAGTGCCCTCCCCTGCCCTCCTTTCCACCAGACACGCTGAGGCACACGGATTTGTTCTGTAGGGGACCTTTCCCACACCACCACCCTACCACTGATGATGACTGGCCCATGCTCACTACACAGCCCTTCAGCTGCTGGGCTGTTTGCTGGATACCCGGCAGGGCATGGGAGAGTGCTAATGAGAGCCGGCCCTTCTTGGCCCAAAGAAAAGGGGTGGGTGCCGCCACCCTGTGGAGGAGGATGTTTCACTCTCTTTCTGGGGAGGCAGGCACTTGTAGAGCCACGTGCCAGGGGAATGGGGCTCAATAAACATACCTTTCTCTCTTGTACATCGGCTTTATTCTTTGCAGCCAAAACCCTTAAGGCGGGCACTGTGCCAAATGCTGGGCTGGGTGGGGAAGATAGGAGTGTGGAGGCCTCTGGCTTCCCTCATCATTTCAGCAGGGCTCTGCTAGTTGGGCCGGTGGGCTCAGGCTGCCTGGCCAGCCAGGCGTGTAAGCAGCCCAGAAGGGAGCGTGGGGTAGACATCCGGGGCTCACCTAGGGGCACTGGAAGGCCTGGCCCTTCGGCAGGGGCCAGGGGCAGCTGCTGCTTCCTTCCCAGGAGAGACGCAGTGGGCGTGACACCCACAACAAAGACACTTGTGGAGCCAGCACCCCAGAGCCTGTTACGTACGGATGGGCGGTGCACAGCACAGGAGAGCGCCTATGCTGAGGAGACTGAGCAAGAGTGTGCTGGGGGAGGGAAGGGGAAGAGAAGTCAGTGTGGGGAAGAGCCCCAGAAGAAAGCCATGAACACCTGTAGGCCTGCAGCAGGAGTGGGCATGAGCAGAACATCTGGCCATTGCTGTCAACTCCGACAGGAAACAGGAAGGAGACAGGTTCCTGGCAGGCAGCAAGGGTCCCTAAAAATGAGCCTCCCCTCCCAGTGGCAGCAGGGTCAGGAGAGGCTGCTGGGAGAGAGGAGGGAGAAGGGTCCCAGGCAGGGTTCCTTCTAAATGTTATGTCCCTGTGCAGAATGAATGTTATGTGCATGAATAAGGGGAGGATGTGACACATCACCTCCATACAGGTGCACATAAAATCCATTCTGCACAGGGATGATCTGTAGCAATGGTGGGGCTGAGTGGCTCTGTATGGGAGGGGGCTTGTTGTGGGAATGCAGGCTCTGAGGTAAAGTGTTTGGGGTATAGGAGAAAGCTCAGGACAGAAGGCGGGGGAGGGGGCAGGAGTTATATGCAGGAGGGTGTTGACCTGTACAAATTTCTCTATCCCACACCTTTACCCAATTTCTAGGGTTCAGGGTGTAAGTTCGTGCAGATTTGCAGGATCTTTTGCCACTGAAAGAGCCTTACACAGTAAAGGCTGTGTCTACACTGGCCACTTATTCTGGAAAATCAGCTGCTTTTCCAGAATAACTTGCCAGCTGTCTACACTGGCCCCTTGAATTTCTGGAAAAGCACTGACGATCTAATGTAAAATCATCAGTGTTTTTCCGGAAAAACTATGCTGTTCCTGTTCGGACAAAAGTCCTTTTCTGGAAAACTGTTCCGGAAAAGGGCCAGTGTAGACAGCACAGTAGTCTTTTCCGCAAAAATGCCCCGATCGCGAAAATGACAATCGGGGCTTTTTTGCAGGAAAAAAAAAAAGTTTTCCGTTATTAGCATTTCCGGAAAATCATGCCAGTGTAAACGTAGCCTAAGGCTATGTCTACACTCGTGGCTTCTTGTGTGAGTAATATGCAAATGAGGCTAAGGGTGGAATATCACTGAGCCTCATTTGCATATTATGCAAGAAGCTGCGAATGTAGACATAGCCTAATATTCTTTATTTATTGACCATTCCCAAGCAATCATAATATGCATGCTAAGCACACAGTGTCATGCTCACCAATCTTGCTAAAGGCAGGCAGACTTGCCCTGGTGGCCAGGCAAGGTCGGTCTCTCTGGATCTTCACTGCTGCATGTCACAGTCATGCAGAGGTCTTGAGCTGGGTTTTGGAGGTGAGTTCTTACAGCTCTTCCCTCTTCTTGGTGTTCCTTTCTCTTTTCCTTCCTGCTGGTCTCCTTAGCCCACAGTTTATATAGTGAAACATGAGTTCTGCTTAGCTATACCATAACCTATTTTAGTATAATTTTTACTAACCATCATAATGAATTGTAACAATTACCTAACTAATCATACCCTACCATCTTAGTTGATTTATACCTAGTAAAAATGATATGGTAGAAACATTTACAACCAGACCGAGATCTCACAAACAATAGGAAAGTGAGGACAATAGAATGTGGATTCCACAACTATTGGCAAACCGTTTCTTGCCAGACAAAAAGCTGTTAACTAAGTTTTCTCTACCCATCTTGATAGCTGTTTATCTGATGACAGTGGGTGCCATTAGAATAGGATCTCCTTCTAGCAGCCTAGAGCAGTGGTCTCCAACCTTTTTACACCCAAGGTCACTTTTTAAATGACAGAACAAGCCAAGATCTAGTGCCCCGCCCCTTCCTTGAAGACCTGCCCTGTCTATACTCCTCCTCTCCATCACTTGCTATCCCCAACCCTTAGGGTACATCTAAACTACATGCCTCCGTCGACGGAGGCATGTAGTTTAGATGTACCCTAAGGGTTGGGGATAGCAAGTGATGGAGAGGAGGAGTATAGACAGGGCAGGTCTTCAAGGAAGGGGCGGGGCACTAGATCTTGGCTTGTTCTGTCATTTAAAAAGTGACCTTGGGTGTAAAAAGGTTGGAGACCACTGCTCTAGGCTGCTAGAAGGAGATCCTATTCTAATGGCACCCACTGTCATCAGATAAACAGCTATCAAGATGGGTAGAGAAAACTTAGTTAACAGCTTTTTGTCTGGCAAGAAACGGTTTGCCAATAGTTGTGGAATCCACATTCTATTGTCCTCACTTCTTTTGGTGGTGTGTGTGTGTGTGTGGTTTTTTTTTTTTTTTTTTTTTTGTCTAAAGGATGCGATTGCAGTGTGGATGTAAGTGAATTTTTTTCTGAAGAAAAAAACTCTAGTGTAGGTGCAGCCAGAGTGGTGGTGGTAGTGGGGGGGAGGGGGGCTCAGAGCTGGGGCTGCAGATTGGGGTACTGGGCACTTACCTGGGGTAGCCCCCATTTGGTGGTGGTGGGGAATGGGTGGCTCTGCATGGCCTGTGCTGTCCCATGCTCACTTCTAGCCAGTTGGAGCTGTGAGGGTGGAGTCTCCATGCAAGGGCAGTCAGGACAGCTTTGGTGCTCATGGTGACCTGGCTCCAGCAGGGGGAGAGTGGGGGGAGGGTGGTAAATAGCAGCACACAGAGCTGCCTCCCACCACCACCAAGGAGGACTGGGCCAGAGCCCAGGGGATTTACAGGCTACAGCCTGGGGCTGTAGTCGAAAGAGGCCCCTCAGCTAAGGACCCCCAGCCCCACACAGGCCTGGGCTGCAAACCTGAGAGCCCCTTTCTTAATCATGCTTTGCGGCAGGAGTGCATCTTTCCCCAGGATATGACTGCTTCCTGCTGCGGTTGGAGCAGTGCACCTCTTCTCCAGCTCTGGCATGGAGCTGCTGGGGGAGCGGATGCTTCAGAGGGCATGAACAGAGCAATTTTCAAGTGGTCCCCTTGTTATCCAGTCCCAGCTCCCAGCAATCAAGTTTAGAGACACACAGAGCATGGGGTTGCATCCCTACATATCCTGGCTAATGCCATTGAGGGACCTTCCTCCATGAACTTATCTAGGGTTTTTTTTTTTTTTAACCCAGTTAGACTTTTGGCTTTCACAGCCTCCCCAGGTAACCAGTTCCACAGGTTCACAGGGTGTAGTGTGAAGAAATACTTCCGCATATTGGTTTTAAACTCTATACCCATTGTTTCTTTGTGGGGTGGGGTGGCTTAGCTCTCACGTTAGGTGAAGGAGTGAATAAATACTTCCTGGTCCATTTTCTATACACCAGTCCTGATACTGCAGACCCCTCTCCTATCCCTGCCTTGGGCTACGTCTACAGTGCAGAGTTTTTGCGCAAAAACTCATGAAGCATTCACACTGCAAGCGCATTTTTGTGCAAGAAAAAGTACAGTAGATTGTCAGAAGACAGGGCTTTTTGTGCAAGAGTTATTCCTCTTTCTACGAGGAATAAGCCATTTAGTGCAAAAGCTCTTGTGAATGGCCATCAGCTTTCTTGTGCAACAGTGTCCAGGGCAGTGTGGACGCGCTCTTGCGTAAAAGCACATGACAATGTGAATGTGCTCTTGCACAGGAACGTTTTGCGGAAGATCTCTTCCGCAAAAAGTTCGTGCGCAAGAATCCTGCAGTGTAGACGTAGCCTGAGTCTCTTTTCCAAGCTGAGCAGTCCCAGGCTTTGTCTTCTCTCTCCTTGTAGAGAAGCTGTTCCAGACCCCCTTGTCATTTTGGTTGCCCATCTTTGTACCTTTGCCAGTTCAATTCAGCGTTTCCAAGATGGAGCAGCCAGAAGTGCAGCCAGGGTTCAAGGTGTGAATGGGCCAGGCCTTTCTCTAGGGCAGGGGTTCCCAAAACAATGCTGAGTATTATAAAAAATATTATTCTTTTGTTTGAATATGTTGCATGTAGGGTTGCCAGGTGTCCGGTATTGATGCAGACAGTCCAGTATTTTCCCCTCCTGTCTGGTAAAAAAAATTCAGAAAATACCAAACTCCTAAAATGTCCGGTATTTTTGGATTTTTTCCTGGCCAGGAAGTGAGAGTACCAGACACCTGGCAACCCTATGACACACTTGGCAACTGGGCCCAGTCTCTGGCCTCTGACACCCCCCGCACCTGCTGTTTACCTTATTCCCCAGGGAAGCTGCGTTCTGCCTTGATCAAGAAAACAAAATGGCTGCTGGCAAAAAGGCTAAAGACCAAGGGGAAGCAATGCCTTCCCTGGGTCTTAGTGCTCAACTGCTCCCCTGTTCCTATCCCCATTCTGAGACTCTGCACACACTCTGAAAGGGGCCATGCTGTTTTAATGCTGTATTATTATTATTATTTATTATTATTATATTGAAGTCCTTTTTTTTTTCTTTTGCTCAACAACTTTGGTCTCCCCCACCCCCTTTTTTCCCCTCAATCAAATTTTTTCCCAATGTTTTTTTTTTGGGGGGGGGGGGCAGCAGGCAACCCTTGTGGCATGAGGCGTGTGTATATGCAAAGCTGTCGGTTGAAAACAGGTTTTAGATTAGTCTAGAAGAAACACATTACAAACAAACAGGCATGTAGACAAGCTCTGAAGTGTGCATGCATCTGAATGCACTGATGACTCTCATGCCCACCATATACATATTTCAAGCTGTTTAAAGTTCTGACACACTAAAATGAGAAGAAAGTAAAAGTCTGTATGGAAACAGGGCACTGCCAGGAATACATTTTGGTTTAGCAACCATGTACCTTGGAGTTACGGGAACTGGCCTGGTTGCCTGCCAACCCCCCAGCATTGTTCTGGAGTCTCCACAAATTAAAGATTAAGCTTTAATGAAAACTACGTCATGTAACGAAACCTCCTGGCATAGGTCCAAAGTTGGGCAATGTTGTACACCGGGGCATGTTCTATCACCACACATGCCCTGTTACGTCTGATTACCGTGTCTTTGCTAATGCCAGACCTGCACTTACTGGCAGATCTGGCCACTGGAGTTTCCCAGGAGGACTCATGTTGGCTTTAGTTACATTCATCCTGTTTACAGCTGCTGGAGGGGTTTCTCCCTGAGCATTTCCATGCTGGGGGCTTGTCAAATGAGGCAGGGATCTCTTCTATTGTTATATCCCAGTGTAGAGGAAATGCGGAAGGCTACCAGAGCTATATAAGCCCGTGAGTCAGCGACCAGGGAGCTTGCGAACAGGAGCAGCGAACAGGGAGTTTGGAGAGGGAGTTTAGAGGGCACTAGTGACTTCTGACCTTCTTTAAAACATAACTCTTAGAATAATCTATATTCCAGAGATTTAAAAAGAAGCCCAGTTTATACTTAAACTTATTCATAAGAAAAATGGAGACCCAGAAGCCCAGCAGCAGAGTGGGGGCTATCCTGTTTATTGCGTCGAGTATAACATGTATGATTACCTGCCCTGTGCGCAGGTGGCGTATGTGTGCACCCATTGCAAGGAGCTCCTGACCCTCAGAGACCGAGTTCAGGCTTTGGAGGCCCGGGTGGCTGAACTGGAGGAGCTAAGGGAGGTAGAGAGATATGTTGATGAGACTTTCCAGGACACTGTAATACTGTCCCACCTCCAGTCTGAGAGCCCCAGTGCTCTTAAGGAGGATGAAAGTCTCAAGGGAACAGAGCATTCAATGGGAGCAGAGGGAAACCATCCCGTAGTTGGGACCCTCCTTCCAGAGGATGTTGTGGTATCCTCTCACACTGAGGATACCTCTGAGGGGGAGGGAATGCCAGTTAGGAAGAGGCAGGTGTTA